CTTTGAATAATACTAAAGGATATGAGAAGGACGAACAGTGTTTATGCAAGTCTTTCTGAGATCACAACTGATCCAGCGGTGATACATGAAGCCATTCTCGGTGTCTGGAGTGAGGTGTGGTACATTCTCTTTATACGGCGCCCTACTACTCGGTGAGTCAGATCGATGAGGCTTGCTGGGGTTTCTTTACATTAGCAAAGAAGGCAAATATCCTCGACTGGTTTCAGATTAATCGTTCCACTGACTGACTATGGCCACCAAGCTGTCTCGTCTCAGCTCGAGAAGCAGATCGGTAAGCTTTTCAAGAAAAATCATGGCGCTCATGTCCTTAGGGGGGGGGTAGGGACATTCGAAACACGGCATTCAAAAACCGCTGATTGGTATCACTAGGACTAACCAAGAGTGTAGGAAGAGAAACGACAGGGAGATCGTCCTGCAAGGTCGTCCTGCAAGGTCCGTTTCCCTCCCTATGACATAGTGCTGGTCTATGAAGGGCTCTCCCGCTTCAATGTCCCCCTGGCGACATATGAGCGCAAATCATTGGAGAGACCAGTATTGCAATTCAGGACCCAGTAAGAGAGGTTTCGAAAGGAGCACTCCGGTCATCGGCATCAAATAAATCATCAAACAAGCCGTAAGCACTTGAAGGCAGTGAATACGGACTGGGGACGGAGCGGGGTATTGATGGCGAACCTCTGTTAAGACCAGACCCGTCAGTGCTCTTTCGAATGAGGACCACATTCAGCGTTACTTCTACCAATGACACCAAACGTTCCACCTTCCCGTCATCGTGTTCACTGCCTTTAGCAACAACTTATAAAGGGAAGAGTTCTCTGAACCATAATTCGCTTATTTCAGACTAACAGAAATGTGTCCGGGGTTCACTAGTGGCGGAAAGGGCGTAGTCGGCAGAGCGGACGACGTATGTTTACTCCCATAAGCCTTGCTGATATCCGATTTTATCATTGATTGCAACATTACGCAATGGTCCCGCACATCCACGCCATGTTGAGCCAAGCAATCGGAAAATGTGTACATAAAAACTATTCCAGGAGGTATTGCAAGACAAGGGAGCATCCCCTAAGAATCTGTCTAGAAGGGAGCAGGAACTCTAGCAAGAATAAAAATTGCTTAAGCACCCTGGCTTCTCTCTTACCCACCTAATAGTGTTCAGAGTTGGCGATCATGCGTGCGATTAGGCGATTAGGCTATAATGAAAAATATACGTATAGATTAGGCGAGTAGGCGATTAGGCGGGGAAGACAACATACGTATTGATTGGTTTGCTCCGCCCATAGAACGTTGTAGGCGAGTAGGCGAGTAGGCGAGTAGGCGATTAGGCGATCGCTCAATGGGCGGAGCAACAAATCAATACGTATCCTTCTCTTATCGCCTACTCGCCTAATCGCCTAATCGATACGTATACTTTTCTTTTTGAATCATCGCCTAATCGCCTAATCGCACGTACGATCGCCAACTATGAACGCTCCATAAGGCCGAGTTCGCGACTTCGGAGATTAAACTATTCCAGAATTATTGGGAGATTAGGATAGTAGGCGATAGGATATTAGGATAGTAGTAGAGTAGGAGATTGCGCTGACAAGATTGGATACGTATCGATTGAAATCGCTGGAGAGTAGTAGATTGGGCGACTTGATCAATACATATCTAATCTTGTCAGCGCACTATCCTAATCTACTACTATCCTAATCTCCTACTCTACTACTATCCTACTATCGTAATATCGCAATCTACTACTCTCCGGCGATTTCAATCGATACGTATCTAATCTTGTCAGCGCAATCTCCTACTCTACTATCCTAATCTCCACATATTTTTTTCATTGCCGCCTACTATCCTAATCTCGGAGTCGCGAACTATGAACGCGGCCTAAGGCTTATCGTTAGTCCCGTTTCAAACAAAAAAGAGATGTTTTACGCGAATGCGTTGCGATTCGTCCGATGATTCTTTCGAGGTCCTGCCTCTCGCCGTGTGACGGGCCTCCTGTCTAGTACCCCACGGTTGACAGAAGTTTTGAGACCGTATCACTCCATACCGTTCATTCCTTCGTATGATGCGCGCGAGTAGCAAGCGGAGCCATGCTGATTACTTTAAAAAGTATGACCTAAACGTTGGAACGTTCAGAGCCCAGGCGATAACAAACGAGCGGTCAGAAAATTTTTTCATCGGTTGAAAGAAAACGTAGGAATGACTGAACGGACGGAGTTCTCAAAAGAGCTCAGTGATGCTTTTGAACATCTGGACAATTACAAGGTGATCGTTAGCTCCACCTTTGTCACATTTTCCTTTTCCTACTCCATCCTCCACCCCTTGTGCAATTACAACCGTAATATGCCACGACCGATGGTACGATAAATTTATGGCATAAAGTTTGTGAAGGTGCAGCGATCGAAAAGAAACCAAGTGAAATCACCACGAACGTCTTCAAGGTCATGCCCCGCTAAATTCAAAAACGGTCTTTGTATGATATAGGGAACATAGATAGAACAAAGAGTTATGGTTGATTTTCACTGAGCGACCATTTGAATGTGAAAAAGAGCTTAAAAGCCCCAAATGCCACACCTTTTTGACAAGTTCTTGGCAAAATCTACTCATATGGGTTTCCTAGTGGTTGGCATCTATTACTTGCCGCGGTAACCATTCTGCGACATGCGAGCGCCATTCGAAAATGCAGGCGGCAGCCATTGAATACGGGCATATCCTTAGAACAAAGCCGGGAGGGGCGAGGAACTTTGGAGAAAAATGTTGCTAAGCCTAGTCCCGATTGCGACAAAAAGACGCGATTTTGAGCCGCGAATTTTCGTTGAAATCGGGACTAGGCTTTAGGCGAAGGAGCAGAATGCCACCACAATGTTCCATATCTTGCGACAGCGCCTGCAAAACTTTCGTTCAGAGGGCCGCTCAGATAAACAAAGCTTAGTCCATGTTTCAAGCACGTGTCTCTACGTGATGCCAAAACAATTTCAAATTCGAAACACGACCTAAAGATTCGTTCTTTGGTAAGACTCCGATTGGAATCTCTTTGCCCGTTGTTTCGCTGCGAGTAGTTTTGACGATAGCCCTCCATTCCAAGGGGTGAAGGTAGTTGACGAGCAGACACAGCGTTATCGGATGGGGATCACTGTCAAGGATAAGGGATTAGCTCATTGGCTACCAATGTCAGGCCAGGGCTTCGCCTTCCGAGGCGAAAGATGCCAGTAATCTCATTTTCTTTAGGGCCAGCCCCCCCCTTTCAAGGGTGGGGCATATTTTCTCTTCAAATCCATATGTATCTTATCATCTGGCCCTATTGTTTCTTACAGAGACAAACAGTTTCTTTCTAAAGTCCTTTCAGCTGTGTCTCGATCGCCTCAATGAGTCAGTGTGTCAAGTTATTCAAAGGGACCCATCTTTCCGGAAGATGGTTGGTTATCCTTGACTTTATGGAAAGCTGGTCCAGTACATAAAATCTTATGCTTGTGCTACCACAGGACCAGAAAATGGAGTTGGCGCCTCCTCCAGGTCAAGATCCCTACGAGTTGGTCACTGCATGGTTAACTAACAGTAAAACATTCGACGATTATAAGGTGTGTAAAACACGCGAGAAATACTGTGTTCCAATGGAAAAACGGTAGCATTACAGAATCATAAGGCTCAAGTAAGTCTCTACGAAAAGCAAGCAACCGAACATCGAGATTACATTCGCCGAGCCAGACGTGCCCTCCACAATATACGGACATTCGTGCAGCACGACTATTGGATAGTCGGGATTCAACGAACAGGTGCGATCATTACTACGGAGCCTTTGCAAAAATAATCCACAGGCAGTATCCATCGACAAGTATACTCTGCTTCCAAAAACCAGAATGCGTCGAGTGCAGACCACACACCACAAGTGACGACGGCCTCCAAGTAAATCTGGTTAGTAGTGGTTCATAGTGATAGCTGATTTTGGTAAATGATAGTTGTAATTAGTGACAACTGATAGAATACAACTGCAACGGCTAATCATTTCATTGGCAGAAAACATTTACATTTTGTGGAGGCCGTCGTCACTTGTGGTGTGTGGTCTGCACTCGACGCGCATCTGGTTTTCGGAAGCGGAGGATACGTTGTTGCCATGATCTCTCTAGATCTTCACACCCAAAGAAGAGAAATGAACTTTCAAATCACTCCTGCATAGGGTACACGATACTCTTCATAACCTTGTTCAGAACAGTCCAGGTATTCGAAGGGTGGCAATCAAGGTCACCTGTATTACCTGTGAAGCCGTTTTACACCGAATTCCTCGAGCAGGTGCCAGAAGCGTCCCTATCCCGTGCCGGAGCGCTCCAATGGATAATTCGCTCTAGGATAAAGCATCTCGTTTCACAAGAATGCTGGGTTGTGAACAAAACTACCGCCCTATGGGACTATGAGGACGAAATCTTCTCGTGTTTTCAATCGCATCTGATTTCGTTCGTCTAGGGCTCCCCTGACCATCGCGACGTGATCATCCCCTGTTCGAATGTCGAGCTGAGGGGTGCTGACGGTAACTCCACTGATTCAACAGCCATCAAAAATCTTCCTCACTGAATGTCCTTTCTCATGAAAGATCTCGAAGAATTGGTGGCGAGGCTACGTGGCGCGACCCCAGGTGGCGGATAGGGGGTAAATCGCGGACCAAAAGCCACCATGTACTTGCCCTGAGACGCAGGTGGATTCAGGTCATGGACTCAATTTCAACAGTGCTGCTCCGATTTATATCTGCTGTACCCAATTATACGTTTTTGTGGACTTGTGCGCTGTGTTCTGGGTGTGCTTATTTGACCCGGACTTTCGATAAGAAATAGTGGTTGCCCTATATTACAAGCATCCTGCCCACATCCTATCCAATTTTTGCACGTGGTCAACCCCCTGGGCTTCCCCCACTGGAAAATGTCAATTTTCCTGGTCCAGGACCCTTGGACCATGGCAGGTGGAAATGTGAAAACGACGCTCATGACCTTAGAGGGGATATTCGAAACAGGGCACTTAGAACCGCTGGTGGGTGACACTGAGGCTAAACCTAGGAGAGGAAAGAACGAAGGTTGCTCACGTCTTTCCTCAAAATCCTTTCCCCTCCATAAGGTTTAGTCTCAGATTCTGTAACTGGCTCTCACTTCAACGCCCTCCCCCCCCCCCTCCCAACGAGATGATGAATGCCGTGAAAATCTCACGATTTCCTCCACTTATCAGAAGTAAATTTATAGTCGTACGTATCACGACCTCTGTTATTCATCGTTGATATAGGAAAGCGCAGAAATGCCCCTATCCGGGCTCCAGTTTCACCCAATTTGCTACTCTACTCAACTCAGATTTATAAGTATGGTCTGTTCAGAGCTCGATAATCTGCGCATAGAGATGGATTTCGCAAAAGCAGAACTTAAAGCCGCCAAAGAGCCACAACTTGTAGATTTGAAGAACAAATTATACGCTCAAGCTGTGAAAGCATTTGAAGAGAAGCTAAAAGAGGTTGGTGGCCAGGAAATCTTCCAATTCACATGCAGTTCTCAAGTAACAATGTGCAGGTAACCAAACTCATGGATGCAGTCCCAAAAAACAAGGAGGCTCACTTGGCAGATGTGATTGAATGGACCAACTGTACACGAGTGTATCACGAGAAAATGGCCAAACTTCTTGAAAACACCTAACAGGGATGCGAATCTTTCAAATTGAACATTGTCATCGTTATTCATAATATGCATTACAATCATTATGGTAGACATATTGTACGTGAGATGTCTGGAATGAATTACTTGTTAAAAACTTCTATCAACAAGGCAATGTTGCCTGGACGTCTTAAAGGAGGAAAGATTTAACCTGGGCTGTCTAGCAAAAGACGCCTCATGCTCGGTTTGGCGGGGTCCAGCCCACCGACATATCTCAATCAGCCGCCATGCGGCCGTTGATTGGATAAAACAGAGAGAGAGAGAGAAGAGAGAGCGTTCCGTTGAAGAGGGCAATCGATTAAGAGTCGCCATCATCCAAATGACGGGCAGGAAGGGGTTCCCCATTTGTCTTGGTTTCGCCGTTCCGCAAATGCTTTCTCCTTCAGTCTTGCTCACTGCAACCACCCTCCTACCGTTATTAACAACTGATCTAACTTTTCATCGTAAATTCTAAAGCCTCTCGAAGGGCGTATTGCATTGTGACATAAACCCTAAATTTGAATTCATTCGGGTATGGCCATACGTGGACCTGACCACCTCTCAGCGCCATACTGGCGGTTCTGTGGTCAGACCAGGTCACCGCGGCCAGACAACGGAAAATTTTAATAACTACGGGCCACTTCCGCGTCTCGATCCTCCCACCCACCACTCTCATGACCCTCATCACAAATACTGTTTCTATGATTATTCTATTCTAGAAGAACGACTATCGCCCCAACTCCGGCCACTTTATCTTTCTGTGAAGGCCGTAGAGGAGAGGGCGAGGGTGTCGAAAATTCTAAAAACCTAACCACCCATCTACAAAAAAAAAAACAATACGCCCTTTTAAGTTAGCCACGTATGCACAGTTGACCTAGTTAGTCACTATCCCAAGATCCTTTCATGTATTATGTTCGAACTGACTTCTTCGATGCCAGTTAATTTAATTATCACTCCTAACCGAAAGAACGATTCTTTCTTGAAATAAAGAATCTATCTGGTTCTGATGATAAACCTGTTCATCTGCCCGTGGCTCCCGCATGCATTATCACAAGGTTGCAGTGGAGTAGAAGAGAGAAAAGGAGATTACATTGCATCGACCTGAAGCACGCCCCGCTTCTGTATATAGACCCACATGGTTGTTCTCGGCTGATAAACTCTCTATTCCCGATCGTCATGCTCGCCACTACGATACCCCTAGTCAGCGCAGCCAAAAATTTCATATAATACGCTCGCACTTAAGAACAAGCTCTGCCCATTGCAGAAAGATGTACCGTTTAAACGAAGCCTTGCTCCACAGACACTGGTATTGTTTCCACAGCAGAAGATTCTCCGTTGCTTCTTCGGAATGAGCTTATTTTTTGAAAAAAATGCAATCCGTGCCCTGTATGGGCAATGCCCGCCAACATCCTGCGATTGCTCTGCCTCAACACCTCTATCCGCTCAACGACGTCACCTTACCTTTTTACCCCTCTTCTGTGACCTAAGTTGTTCATGTAGTTGTACAATAGCACACAACCTTCCAACCGCCTGACCGCCAGGCGGTACCTACCTTCGAGCTTGGCTCTGTCGCTCAGTATATTTTCGCCCTCCCTCTCTATCTCCAACACATCCCGAATTTGACTACAATCTTGCTGCCATTATTCGATGATGAACTGATCAGACTTGCAGCACTTTACCGCCATGACATAGAATTTGAGCAGAAAACATTTTACAACTTTAAAAAGAGTACAAAATACCTGTTGATTTTCGACGATTCGGCAGTCAATATATGCTATTCTCCAGAATTCCCATCAGTTCTCTGACAGGCGTGCTGGTCTAGTATTGTTATTTAAGAGATTGAGAACAATCTGGATATGCTCGGTCACCGCATCAACAGACCAACACACAGCCAGTCCCATACTCAATCTGCGCAAGCTCGCTGCCATTTTTCACAGAACCATTTACTTCTGACTCATCCCTATACAACTATCCGCTGACGAACATTACAGCGCCCTCTGCTGACAGAAATTCGATTAACCTCCACCGGAGTTTTCTGAGACTAGCAACGCGCTAAGAGCCTTCCGTAATTTTTTGTAATTCCAGTATCTAAAATGGCTGAATATTATCTTATGTGCCATAAATGCTCCATAATATTAGTTGAAAACGATCGAAATCCAAGCGAAAATAAACGCATATGTCACATCACCTCTTCCTTTTTCACGAGATCGATCTTGTTGAGCACTATCACTACCCGGTTTGGGCAGAATATGGAGCATAGCAGTAGGTGTTCTGAAGTCTGTGGCTGAATCCCAGATGACGCATTCACCACCTTGTAAAAGCAGCTTTGAGCGAGTATGTACACCACAGGAAGCATAAGCTCCTTGGTTACACAAAAGCCACTCCAAGCAAAGATTTTTCATATTTTTTTTGAAATAAGCCCTGGTAATGGCCGTGCAATTTACTCGGCGGAAAAGGAACTCTTCCGGATACGCCATGCACTCCACCTCAGTCGGTGGTAATTGGATGCGGTTCGACCTACAATGAAACGAGGACCATGAACAAGTCGTGATCAGACCGCGGGTGATTGGTTCCACGTGGGTGGTACCAATCATTCGACCTTGAAAGATGATTCCACGATAAGGACGAAAAAGGGGAACACACCTAGTGGAGACACAGGCACACCTACTAAGGGTGTGGATCGAGACGCATTCGCATTGAAGGATATGCCCCCGACGATCTAGCATGCCTTCTCGCGGCGCTATTGGCGCGCTATCGGCGCGGTACGCCCCGTCCTCGCTGTCTGACCTCTAGCCGTTTAGCAGAGAGAGCGTTAGCGTTGAAGAGGGCAGCACCGATGAGAGTCGCATCAATGCGAGAAATCAACGGGCAAGAAAGGGATCCCATTTCGCGATTCGTGAGCCGTTTTTTTGTGTAGCACTGTCCATCTCGACCTTAATCTCCAACGGCTTTTTCATCATAAAATCCGTTTTTGAAAGGGTGGAACTTGCTTGGAATACTTGATTTTCATCAATGGTTTGATTACCAGACCGTACGCTTGGTAACCAGCGCCACTCGCCATCACTTCTGCGCCCCACTTTACGATTTATTAACGAAAAACCGTGGCAATATTTTGGAGTGACTTTGAACATAAAAATAATAGAAATTACCACTAAAGCCATATCGAACACAGTACTAGCAGCCAACACGGCTTTGATGAGACCGGCATGACCTGGACAGTCAATTAAAGCAAGTCTACGTCCAGCAACAGTTAAGGAAGAAAAGCTGAAATTGTGAAAAAGTGAGCCTTGTTTTCAAACTGATTCTATATTAAATAGACGATAGTACAAACCCAAGATCAAGAGTATTTCTTCTTCCACCACTTTCAGCATGCTTGTCGAATGCCGACGTTGACGCCATCTCGGCAAGTGCCCTCGTCAACGTCGTCTTCCCACTGTCTACATGCCCAAGTACGCCCACATTCAAAGACATCCTATCCTATAATCTCAGCGTTGATCTTTGAAAATTTGAACAATTCGCAGAGCTTGAAAAATTCATTCGTCATCACCACCTGTGCGGGAACCATGACAAGTTATGGAGCTTCACTGTGATAAGATCCCATGACCGAATTTTCCATAAATAAGATAGAGCTATAGGTTTCACTGCAACTGACATTCTGCCAGGAGTTCATTCAGAGGAGGTTTCCAGGATAAGAACGAAGGTCAAAGAAGGGGAAAATTGCCTAGTTGGGAGACAGGCGGACCTCCTGAGGGTGCGACCGACGCGCAATTGGCAGCGAAAGATTTGACCTCGGCGATCTAGCATGGCTCACTCTTGGCGCAGTTGGCGCGGTACGCCCACCGACATAGCAGAGAGAGCGTTAGCGTTGAAGAGGGCACGATGAGAGTCGCATCAATGCGGAAATCAACGGGCAAGAAAGGAGT